GGGTCAGGAGAGGTCTGCCACACCATGTGGTCACCCCCGGGGCAGGCGGTAATCGAACTCATGCGGAAGCGGCTTTAGATTCTCAATGCTGTGATTTAACCCGCTGCGCCACCAGGGAGGGCCTGTTGTTTTATTTTTAAGACAAAAAGTCATGTTATGAGTACTCTCAGAGTAGATTTTTTTACTCTGCCCTAGATAAGAGATGCTGCCAATTTCTATAAACGAAGTCAGTGCTACAAAGATGCCTTCAGATGCTTTGAGCAGATTCAGGAATTTGACCTCGCGCTCAACATGTACTGCCAAGAGGAGCTTTTTGAGGAAGCTGCAGTTGCCGTGGAGAAGTAAGTGCTTCTCCCCACCCCGCTTGCCCTCTGGAGCCAGCCTGCCCTGGTTGGCGTTGTCCTGCTCTTTTGAAGTGACTTGACCAGGTCACCTTCCTTTTATTTGATCCTTGGTGCCGGGTCACAGGAGATCAGGACTCTGTGGCTTCTGCTCTCTTTTTCAGCTTTGACAGTGTCGTGAGGAGAGGGGCAGAAGATAAAGGTTTGTTACGTGTGTATGCAACACGCACAGTCATTTTTTTTAAAGATTTATTTATTTATGCATACAGAACTGGGGTGCAGGCCAGAGGTGCAGAGGTAGTGAGAGGATTCACCAGAGACCGAATGGGGAGCAGAATAGGCCGGCTGACGAAGTACACTGCTGAGGGGAGCAGCGGGCAGGCCATGGGGGTCACCTCAGGGCGAAGATCGAGCTCATGCTGAAGTGGCTTTACCTTCTTAGTGCTGCACTTTAACCCGCTGCGCCACCAGGGAGGGCCCCCACAGTGATTTTTATGCTTAATGACAGTGCTGGCCTCTCTGTTACCTGGTAAGTTGACAGTTTCACTGCTGCGTGCATGGCTACAGGTAAGGGCACGTGGACAGTCAGGACTGCTTCATCGTGCTGTGGCAGACGTTTGGTCTTGTGCTCATACATCCGTGAGTGCATGCACAGCACTGTTAGTTAGGGGAGCGCTGGGAAGTTTGTGGGGGACCCAGTGGAGGCTTCCTTCAGCCTTTAACCAACCGTAGCCAATATGCCAAAGGTGCTGTAGGTGATACGGACATAGATGAGGCTAATGGTTGAAAAGGAATCGATTATTTATTTATTTGTATAGAAGAACTGGGGTGTAGACCCTGCAGAGAGGTGTTGGGGGTGAGAGGACTCACCAGAGACAGGTGGGAGCACAACAGGTAGCTCTACTGAAATACACTGCTGAGGGGAGCAGTGGGCGAGACAGGAGAGATCTGCTGCCCCATGTGGGTCACCTCCCTGGCCGGGGATCAAACTTAGGCTGTAGGGGTGATACAGTGCAGGGGACCTTGACCAGCAAGGCCGGAGAGTTGGGGCCCCAGGTCCAGCGAACAAAAGAAGCAGTCACATGCGTGTAGCAGAACAAAGAAAGAGCTCTTTATTGGGTTTTATCTCAGCTTTATACAGGAGGAGAGGGATGCCAGGAAGGGAGAAGGCCAATAGAAATGCAACATGTTTTGGTGGCAGTTGGTCTCCCACGAGGGGCGAAAGTTGGCGAGAAAAGAAAGAGGAAAAGGAATAGGTGGGGGCAGGGAGTTCTTCCCACATGCCTTTTGCAACCCGGATGTTTTTCTCTATCCGGACTCCATTTCACCTTTTTATGGCTGTTGACAGACGCCAGATGCCGGCCTCGGTCCCCAACAATACAGCTGAGACTGAACCCCTAGGCTGCTAGGGAGCCTCCTTAAAAGGAACCTAGAAACAGCATTTTGTTGATGCCCTAGAAGATCTTTCTGGTGTTATGAGCGAGCTGGAATGACAGAGTCTATACATCTGCGTATTTTTGCTTAGCAGGGGTTTGAGTCAGCTCTGCTCCTGGAAGAGCAGGCTGGGGACTGATTCTGTGTTTGCTTTCTACCAAATTATACATATGACAGAATGAACATTACTGACTCGGGTGTTCAAGCTTTAGGCTTTTATTTTTAACTTTTATTTTAAAAAATATATCATATTCAAAAATGTGCACATAGCTTGCACAAAATAAATACATACTGTAATAGCACCTACATAAAGAAGTTGAGTTTTACCTTTGGAAATGGAAAAATAGGTTGGCAATTGAGCATGTTCCTTAATCCAGGTCTTTGGTGCCATCATGTGTATGCTAAACATAACAGGTGTATATTATTAGTCAGCTCAGGCTGCCGTTACAAAATGCCATAGAACAAAATGCTTCTTAAAACAGAAATGTTTTCGGCCCTCCCTGGTGGCGCAGCAGGTTAAAGCACAGCACTGAGAATCTAAAGCCGCTTCTGCATGAGTTCGATTCCCGCCTGCCCCGGAGGTGACCACATGGCATGGCAGACCTCTCCTGACCTGCCCGCTGCTCCCCTGAGCAGTGTACTTCATCGATCTGCCTGTTCTGTTCCCCACTCTGTCTCTGGTGAAGCCTCTCGCCGCCCCTGAGCCTCTGGCCTGTACCCCAGTTCTGTATGCACAAATAAATCTTTAAAAAAAAAAAAAAAGAAATGTTTTTTCATACACTTTTGGAGGTCAAGGTTCAGCCATTTGGGGTTTTGGTTAATGCTTTCTGCCTGACCTAGATGACCACCTTCTTGTTATGCCCTTATATGTCCTTCTGGGGTGGGGAAGGTGGAGGAAGAGGGGGAGAGAGAGACAGACTATTCTGCTTTCTGGTATCTCTCTGCTTATAAGGACACTTAATCCTCTTAGATCAGGGCTCCACCCTTATAACCTCATCTAACCTTAACTACTTTCTTAGAGGCTTCAGCAACATCCTCTTGAAGTTTAGGGTTTCAACAAATGAATTTGGGGGGGATACAAACATTCAGTCTGTAACAGGATGTCAGCTGTGTCATTCATTGGTACCCACTCACCATAGTGTTATACAGCCGTGATGGGGATAATCAACCAGGCCGATTCCCTGTGAGTTCTTTAAATTTGCTAAAATACTATCCACTGTCTACCTCATTGACCAAGCTGGCAAGGCATGTGAAGTACATTCCCTTTCTTTCTCCACCAGGCAGCTTCTTTTCCTGGGAAAGCTGAGGCTGTAGGATGATACTGTGGCATCTACGGGGCCCTGAATACCCTCATGTGTCCTGTGAGATTTCTAAAGCAGGCATGTTTTATTGGGTTGTCCCCGTGCTTGAAGACTGGTGGTGTGGACCTGCTGACTTTTGTCAGCAGAATAAAGTAGAACCCTTCAGAGCTTTATTAATTTCACCACAACTCAACCACAGGCACATCTGGCAAAAGAGAAAAGGCAGGTAGGATCATAAGGAAAAATCTCACATAGTCAGTTTTTGGTTTGTGTGCCGCTTCTTCATCTTTTCTCATGAATCACTTATCAAACGGAACAGGCAGGGCCCTATGCCCAAACGTATTGTGACACTTTCATGAAAGTTTAAAAGATTTCTTTTCAAGGACAATTTTGACTCTGAATCATTTTTGCTCTCCAGATGGACTTCCAAACTTAATTCTCATACACTCAAATTGTCACTCCACTAGGTTAAATTAAGTGGACATAAAATCTTATAGCAAAGACATGCGTTTTGTTAGTCTAAGTAAAGATGCACAATGAGCTGATGTCTTTTTTGAAATTTATATCTCCCCGTGGGAACCTTGTTTTAGTGGCTCAATGCTGTATTTTGGAGATTTTCTGTTGGGCAATAAAGAATTGACATTTGTGTCCTTCATCCTTGCAGGTATGAGGAAATGCTACAGACCAAGACTCTCCCCATGTCCAAGCTCTCGTATTCTGCCAGTCAGTTTTACTTGGAAGCCGCAGCCAAGTACCTGAGTGCAAACAAGATCAAGGAGATGATGACTGTCCTCTCTAAGCTTGACATAGAAGACCAGCTGGTGTTCCTCAACTCCAGGAAACGCCTGGCAGAAGCTGCAGACCTGCTGAACAGGGAAGGTCGGAAAGAGGAGGCTGCTTTGCTGATGAAGCAACATGGCTGCCTCCTGGAAGCCGCCAAGCTCACCGCCGATAAGAGCTTCCAAGCCTCATGTCTGCTGGAGGCCGCCCGGCTCAATGTGGCCAGGGGTTTGGATGTGGAGCACACCAAAGCCATCCTGACAGAGGCGCTGGATCTCTGCTGTCAAACCAACCAGCAGTCTGGCATTGCTGAGGCCCACTTCCTGCTGGGAGTGATCCTTAGAGACTTTCAGAAGCTCAAGGACGCCTTCATCAAGTTTGACAGGCTCAACCACTCGGCTGGAGTGGTGGAAGCTCTCTACCATGCTGCCAGCCAGTGTGAGGTTGAGCCTGAGAAGGTCCTGGCCTTGGCTCCAGGGGGCCTGGAGGTCCTCCTCAATCTGGTCAGGGCCCTCAAATGTGTGAATAACAATGCTGAGAAGGAAATGGTCAAGTCCTGCTTTGAGTTTTTTGGGATTTCGCAGGTGGACCCCAAATATTGCCAGATAGCTCAGAATGATCTCGGCCCCATATTAAGAATCATTTTTGACTTGGATTTGAACTTAAGAGAAAAGAAAACCAAAGACCATTACATGATCATGACTGACCAAGTCAAATTAGCCCTAAACAAACATCTCTTAAGCAGGCTCTGTCAGATCACACAGAGCCTGCTCAGAAAGACCTGCCCCGGGGTCTGCATGAGGTTTATTGTCGGCTTAAAATGTAAGAATGAGAACTGTGAAGATTTGCACAGGCCTTTGCTGCGTTGCGAGGCCAAGCATCTGGTTCAGTCCAGAATACACCTGGTGGCAATCAATGGCTTGCTTCTGGAAGCCAAAAAAGTATTCCCTAAAATCTTAGCTAAAGAGCTTGAAGAAATCGATTATATTTTGTCTGCGGATATGTTTGGCCTTTGCAAATCCTTCCTGGACGTGGTCTTCCCCAAGCATTTTCATCAGAGAGTGTTGTCAGAAAACCCCGTGGCGTGCAAGGAAATACTCTGGCCCAGTTCCAAGTCCTTCCGTTCCTACAGGGTTGCTCTGAAAGGCTACGTCCACTTCCTGTTCCAAAACTCAAGGGCTCGCAGCCGCCGGGAGTCGACAGACCTGTGGCTGAGCGCCATGCAGGCCTTCCTCCTCTCCTCCAGCTACCCCGAGGAGTTTGAAAAGCTCCTTCACCAAGAAGAGGATGACTTTGACAGGGAGCTCAAAGCCCTGGAGTCTGAAAAAAAGGAAAGGGGCCGGGCGAGAGGCAGCAGGATGAAAGGCATAGAAGGGAAGTTTGGCATGCTGGTGCCCAACAGGGAAGACGAGAGCGCCGAGAAGACCCACCTGTGCTTCATCCGGCTGCTGGAGAACTGCATCAACCAGTTGTATGTGTATAGGAACCCAGAAAACTACAAGAGGCTCTTTTTCCGTTTCATGAACGTCCTGGTGAAGCGGTGCAAAGAGCCGCTCATCCCCAGCATCGGCAACACCGTCGCCCTGTTGGAGTTACAGTTTGTCCACTGTGGGGTGGTCCTGGCCCGTCTCTGCAAGAATGCCACCCTGTGCCTCCCCAAGAGTTACATTGCGCTCTTGCACTACTGGGAGTTCCTGCTCAGCAAGAAGGACAAGCAGCTGGGGGATGTGTTCGCCATCATTCAGGAATATAAACCTAGGGACCTGTCCAGAGCCATTCAGAATTTCCGGTTCCACCTCTCCTATCTCGTCAAGGTGCTATGTGGCTACGAGAACAGGCACTTCAACGTCCTGCTCGATGCCTTCAGCGAAATAGACTACGTGGTCTCAGGGGAGGCTGAGCGGACCCTGGTGCTGTGCTTGGTGATGCTGGTGAACGCCGAGGAGGTTCTGCAGTCGTCCTGCAAGCCCTGTCTGTACTGCCACTTCCAGGAGATGGAAGCCCGGCTGCAGCAGATGAGCGTGGTCTGGCCGGACCAGGTTCCAGAGAGGCTGCTGAAAGCAGTGACGCGGGTGTTGAAGGCCGGCACTGCGAAGGCCGTGGCCGAGGCTCTGCAGGACCTGCTCCGTGAGCGGGATGAAGAGTACCTGCTGGACTGCCGCTGGCGGTGGGACAGCGTGCACGCCAAAGGGCCCACGACCCGTGGCCTCTATTACGAGGAGGTCAGACTGAATCGCCTACTCTCCGTGGGGCCCGTGGACAACTTGATGGAACTGGAGTATGAGTTTGGCCAGGGAGAGTCGGATGAGTTGGCACTGGAAGACCGAGACCCCCTGCTGGCCGACATCTTCTCCCAGAGGCAACGGAAAGCATCCCTGCAGCGGAAGCTGAGACGAGTGTGCCTGGTGGTGTCCCTGTGCATCAGCTGGAGGAGGAGGGTGAGCGCCCAGAGGGAGCACTTCAGGGAGGAGAGCAGGGAGCCCGGGGCCAGGAACTTCAAGAAGGCCGACGTGGACTGCACGCAGTGCGACCTGTGCGGAGTGAAGTTCACCCGCAGTCCCGAGAGCTACTTCAGCCCCGGTGCCGACTTTGACGGAGCGGCTTCGGGGGTGGTGGCCCTTTCCGGCGCCGAGCCGGAGGACAGGGAAGGTCAGGAGCGGAGCAGCGGGTCTTACGAGCAGCACGTCCTCCTGGAGGATCACCAGAGGCAGCAGGTGGCCTACCAGGAATACTTTAAGTTCTTCTGTGACATGGTGGACCCGGCCGTGGAGGAAGGCAAGCTGGTGGTGGAGGACATTGAGCAGAGCGTGTGGCTGCACAGTCACCTGGGCTCCAAGGAGCGCAGCCGCGTGCTTCAGAGGAAGGTGCATGAGAACATCCAGAAGGTTTTGGACACGGTGGACTATCTCTACAGGCAGAAGGCCTGGGCTGATGGTAAGGGACCCTCAGACATGAGGGCCTGGTTGCTGTTGGGACAGGCTGGGCACACACACACTCCAGCGTCAGGCTGTCACGGTGGTGCCTGATCCAGGTAGGGTGGGGCCGTGGCATTAGCAGACACATAAGTGAGAGGTGTGTGTCTCAGATTATAACCAACTCCCATTGTTTGGGCCATCCCTGCTGCATTTTCAAATGCGTGGTTTTCTTGGGCTTGGATGGCTTCCCTAGACACTGCAGACAGAAAGGGGCTTGCTGACTAATTCTGTGGAGTTGGTAGAGGGAGGATGTTTAAAACCTTGAGGGAATTTTATGCTACTCCCACTTCGTCCGTCCCTCCAGGGATCATTCCTTGAGTGTCTGCTATGTGCTGAGCCTTGACTGAGAGCTGGGGGCATGTGGCTGGTGTCTTCCCGCTTGCGGGGGGAGGCCTTAATCCAGACCCACAGCAAACCTGCATGAGAAGAAGGTTTCTGTGGTGTTTGAATCATAGCTCCCCAAACTTCCTTACTTGCTACATCTAGGCAACACTGAGAGTCAGGTTCTGTATAAAACTAGTAAAATTGTGTAACTTGAAAGTGTGCTGTAATTCAGGCGCCCCGGTTGAAGGGTTAGTGGCATTTTCCAGATGTCCTTTTGAACAAAGCGTCTTGGAATGATGTTTGCTATTGGCAGTTTGAATAGACACTCAGGATGGCGTCAGCGAAGGTGGCTGTGGGTCCCAACCCAGTGCTCCCAAGGGAAGATGGGGGCATGGGCAGTAGTGGGCTGGAGCCCCTGCGAGTCCTTGCAGTGGCCCCTTCACTCAGCACCCTTGTTTTCTGATTCCTGCAGCCGTGAAGATCATGACTGGGCTGATCAACATTCTAATTCCTTCCATCCACGACGCCCGGGACTGGCTGAGGAAAACAGAGCTCCACCTGAAGGAGGAAGGTGAGGTGCCCTTTGTCCGGGATCAAGCTTTGGGTCTCGTGGCTCTGATTCCTCTGACTCTAAGTTCATTCTGCTGGGGGGTGCCTGTGACGTCAGCAGTGGCTGGTCATGGCCCAGAGCCTCGGCCAGTGAGTCAGACCGTCACTGACCTGGTTCCTGGTCCACTCTGAGGGCAGTTATTCCAGGTTCATGCCAGTTGCTTATTCAAAGGCCTCTTTTGAGGAAAACTTCTCTGGTCTCTTGCGATCTATTATTGATGATGTTCAGTTGCTACTCTTTCAAAGTACGCAGGCTCCCGGGATAGGGAAAAGACTACAAAGCCAACCCTGGCCAAGTAAGTTTGCCAGCGTCAACCGTTATAAGTCAATGAATATTTGTTGTTTATAGTGTGTATCAGCTCTGTTCTGGGCTTGGTATAAAAAAAACTAACAAACTTTGAACAGAATGAGAACACAGGGAAAGCGTGCATGTATTTTCCTACAGAGAGTTAAAGACCTGTGGAGTGTGAGTCAGGTTCTCCTGATAAGCAGAATTGTCTTCTCAAGTTCTGTGTGATCTGGAATCTTCCCTCTTGCCTTTTTTTTTTTTTTTTAAGATTTATTTATTTATGCATATAAGAACTGGGGTACAGGCCAGAGGTGTGAGTGATGAGAGATTTCACCGACACACAGTGGGGAGCAGAACAGGCAGAAGTGAGCATTTCAATAGGAAATATGCTGCTGAGGGGAGCAGTGGGTGAGATAGGAGAGGTCTGCTGCACCGTGTGGGTCACCTCCTGGCCGGGGTCCATCTCATGCCACAGTGGCTGGTGATAGCTTCAGAGTGCCGTGCTTTAAGCCCTCGCACCACCAGCAGGGGCCCCCCTCTTGTCTGTTTCAACTGCTGACCCCATCTTGGCTGGACCTCATTTTTTTCCTGCTCTGAGCATTCCTCCAGCCCCAGATTGTTATTCTGTGAGTCCTAGTCTGGATGCAAATGGAAAATCTGGATCCTGGAGCTGGGGAATACTTGAAGGCATTTATGTTGGTGCCAGTAAAATATCTTCAAACTTAAGTCTCTTGGGGGACTATGAATTTTGTGATTGCTTCAAAAAGAAGAAAACTGGTATATGAATTCATATCATTTTGCTTGATTTCTTTGCCATTTAAAGGGCCTTTCTCATGGTACAGGGGTTAAAGTCTCGGTGCTATCAAGCTATTGACAGCCACTGTAGCACGAGCTCGATCCCCGGCCAGGGAGGTGACCACATGGCGCGGCAGACCTCTCCTGACCCGCCCGCTGCTCCCTCAGCAGTGTACTTCATCGATCTGCCTGTTCTGCTCCCCACTCTGTCTCTGATGAATCCTCTCACCCCCACACCTCTGACCTGCACCCCAGTTCTCGTATGCATTAAATCAATCAATCAATCAAATCTAAAATAAGACCAGAGAAACTCAAAAGAACTCAGTCCAGAGAAGAGTGTTTAGTTTGGGATGTCTCCTCCTGGGCAGCACTATGAGTCCTCCAAGGTGTAACCTCTGTCTTCTGCAGAGACTTTCTTCCCCACTTTAGTTTAAAACAATGACTACAGAGGCCTTAGGCTTTACTGGGATGATGCATTTTATCGTGGAGTGGGAAAAACCACCATGCTACACTTTGTTTTTGCCTTTGGCTTTTAAAACAGGTGTTGTCCAGGAAGATGATTATGAAAATGAAGTTGAGGACTTCCGTGAACTCTGTCCGAGAAAACGTTGGCAGAAACGTGGAAACCAGAGAAAACATTAACATCTCCACAGCTGCTGCCTCTGAAACCTTCAGAACATTCCATTCGGACATAGATTTGTGAGCTCCTACGCAGAAGAGAAAAAGACTGTCCACTAGCTTTGAAAAGTAGGGGAGCCTAACAACCCCTTTGCTTTTTGCTATTTCTCTCTCGGTGGCGTTGGGTCCGATTGCTCCCACAGCTGCTGGGACCGCTTAATAGTTTTCAAGTTGAAGTGTTCGCTCCCCTAAAACATGTTCAGAGTGGAGGAACCATAGCTGACGGGCTCCTCACCTGAACCCCCAGGTGCTCTGGCTCATCACCTTCATGACATGGGCCAGCAGCAGGGACACCCTCGCCTCAGAGTTACTGCCTCCCGGGGCCAGGAAATCCCTTTGTGGGTCCCTCATCTCCTTTCCCGCTGCTGCAGCGCTGCATAGCACAGAGCTGTGTGTCCCAGGTTCCATGTGGGCCCTACCGCTGGCCGCCCCTGGCCCCAGGCCACACTCTGGTCATCTCCGAGCTGACTTGTAGTGTGGTCCCTTCCATTGTACCTGTGAGCCTTCACGCTCTGTGTCACTTGGCCGCCCTCCACCCCGCCCATTCTTTTGTGACCATTCTTCTCAGTGACCTGTGCAAGTCAGGCTTAGGCTATCTCGGCCTGTAGTTAAGAATTTCCCCAGTGTCCTGCGGGCATCCAGCCTTAAAACTTCACTCAGAAGGGAAGGCTGGGGAGCATCACTGGGGAGTGTCCAGCCTGCCTCTCCAGGGTCTGCTTTGACTGTGCTGCAGACACTCCACAAAGTGTATGTCGTCCCCTTGTCTGGTTTCCTTGGCTCTCCCTGGCAGCTTTGCCACCCTAGCTTGGGCTGACATTCCAAGGGCTTGTACCCACTGATCTGCAGGGACAAGTGGACGTAGGAGGAAGCCAGCCTTCCTGTGCCCACCCACAGGGATTTGGCTGTGAATCACTGCCCCGTGGCTGGTAGGCCGTGTGGGAGGAGGGCAAAGAGGGTGTGGGGCTGTTTGCTGCAGGCTGTGGTTCCTGCTGAGCCAGAGCCCATTGGGATGAGTCCACTTAGGAAGCCTTCCTGCCTCCCTCATGGCTACCAACCCCTCCCACCCCTCAGCCAGCCCACTGTGACAGGTCATGCTCTTGTGGGTCCATCCTGTTTACTTACCACAACAGAAACAACTTTTCTCCTCCTGTTGCTGCTCATTGTTTTCTTTTATTGTCTTTCTAAATGACTATTTCCTTGAATTGTTTACGTGTCTGATTTTTATTAAGTTACGTCTCCCATTTTTATTCTAGGTGTTTTTAGGTGTTTTTTATAAATTTTCCTTGCCAGAAAAAAAAAAAGACCTCATTAAATCTTGCTGTATTACCACATTTTTTTATAAAGTGAAACCATTTCTCTTACTGTAACTGTCCACGTGTTTGTTTCTAGTCTTCACTCAGAAAGTAAAAGGCAACATCTTGGAGCTGGTTGACACGGGCTCACAGTAGCTGTGCTTCTAAAATTAAGAAACCTAGTGACCCAGAAGTGAAGCTCAGCCCAGGGACTTGCAGCTGGTTGCAGGATCTTTTTTTTATATAGTAAGTTTTTTTTTCTTAGATTTATTTATTTATGCATAGCGAACTGGGGTACAGGCTAGAAGTGCAGGGGCATGAGAGGCTTCACTAGAGACAATGGGGAGCAGAACAGGCAACTCTACTGAAATACACTGCTGAGGGGAGCAGCGGGTATGTCAGGAGAGGTCTGCTACTCCTGTGGGTCAGGCGTCTCCAAGACCACGCCCAGGTTCCGTAAGCCACTAGGAAGATGCACAGGACACTGCTGAGTTGTATGCATGGTTCTGATTTATTACAATAAAAATATCTCACAGAGAAAAGGCACATGGGCAATGTCTGCAGGGTATGAGAGTCTTTTCCCTGGAGTCGCATGGGACATTTAGCCAGCCACCACTGGTGTGCGCATGTGTGAACGGTGTCAATTAGAGCAGCTTTTTTTTTTATATTTTCATTTATTTATGCCTACAGAACTGGGGTACAGGCCAGAAGTATGGGGGTTAAAGAATTCACCAGAGACAGAGTGGGAAGCAGAATAGGTGGATGGATGATACAGACTGCTGCCGGGAGCAGCAGGCAGGTCAGGAGAGGTCTGCTGTACCTCTGTCAACCTCGTCTCAAAGTTGCAGAATCTCAGGGGCAAAGTGGGTTCTGTGCAAACCTCTTGTTGGTACAGACAAGTGGGTGCTGAGAGTCACTGTTACCAGTCCTGGGTTTGGCCGGAACCTCCTGACATCCAAGTTCCCACAAGCCAGATGGGCCAGTCTTGTGAGTGGGCCCACCCGGAGTCGGGCCTGCTCTCTTCACCCTTTCCTGCACAGGTGGCTTCTCCCGAGTCCAGATTGTGTTAATATCACCCTGCCAGCTTGCCTTCTTGGCCCCCAGAATCCAGCTTCTAGGTAAGTACTCCACACCTACTGTCGACCTCTGCAGTGTAGGGCATGAGTTTTCAGGGACACTCCATCCTCCAAAAATACCTCATAAAGCTAGCTATTGTCTTTAACTGCCTCTGACATTGTTCCACTTCTCTGCAGCCAGTGACAACCACTCCAAATGCTGCATGGATCCCTGGAGGCCTAGTGGGAAAGGGAAGGAGCCGGGCACTCTAGTGACTGTCCCCTCTCCACCTCCCATGAGCCACGCGCATACTTTGCCAACCTTTCTCAGCCAGGAATGTGCTTTTCAGATTCTCTTGGAACAAGAATCCAGCCTCCCAAAGATGAAAGGAAGGAAGAAAACCGATGTGAGGACTAAAAGCACCCTAAGTTCTGTGCTGGCACCTCAGAACCTGGCCACATCACTGGTGGGGAAACAGATCCAGATGATGCACCTTACCTGGGGTTGCAGAGACAGCTGGGCAGAGCTGACTTGTGGGTTTTCTGATGCCAGCCAGAGAGGGCCCCTGCTTATTCCTTCCCATCCTTGTGTGTGTGTCTTCCCCCACCAAGAGGCAGGATCTGTTCTTTCTCCCCTAATGACATGCTTTGTCCAATGGACTGCCGCAGAAGTGACACTGTGCTGATTCCTGATCTGGCTTTTAAGAGGCCAGGGAGCTTCAGCCTTTCTTTGGAATACTCTAGATGCTGAGTAAGAACTCACTCACCCTGAGAATACCAGGTGTGAGGAGACCCAGGCTAGCCAGGTGGACAGGCCCCTGGAGGGTCACTAGGGCACCATCCTGTGATTGCAGTCTTTTTGGACATTTCAGTCCAGTGCCCCCAGAATGAGGCCAAGGCAGTAACCCTAGCAGATGGCACAGGAAGTAGGATCACACCCAGCTGAGACCTTTCCAATCATGACTGAATAAGGCACTACTGTTTTAGTTGGGGTGTGTTGTTACAACAGGTAAGTGTGTGTTCGCTGCATTAGGCATGTTGCATTGAGGTTGCTAAATCTTACAATAACTCTGAAGTAAAATGTGATGGATCCTCCCTGGTGTTGCTAGGGATAAGTGTCAGCACGATGAAGCTACGCACAGCCACTGCAGCCCGCGTTTGACCCCCGCCAGGGAGCTGACCCAATCACATGGCACGGCAGCCTCTCCTGTCTCACCTGCTGCTCCCCTCACCAGTATATTTCAGTCGCTCTGCCTGTTCTGCTCCCCACTCTGTCTCTGGTGAATCCTTTCACCTCCTGAATCTCTGTCCTGTCCCCCAGGTCTGTATGCATAAATAAATAAATCTTTAAAATATACATAATGTACATATATATATATATAATGAGGAGTTTGAGGTCAGTGAGCCGAAGTCCCTACTGGAGCCCATGATTACAGCTTATTATTGGAAGGAAAGGGCTTCCTGAATCAATTTCTGTGACCTGATGGGAATGCTGGTGCCTAGTACCTAGTACTTATTCCCCTAGAACATCCCAGGGACCAAGCATTTGTAGCCACTCTCCTCTGCACTCTGACATCCAGCTGGCTGTGCTGGCTTCGCTGAAGCTGAGGCTTGGTTGCCTGGGCAACCTGCAGGAACAGGTCCTCTGACCAGCATTATAGGGGTTATAGGGGTCTCTCCACTGAGCTCTTGGGTTCTGGTCCCCCGGGACACTGGCAGCCAACACTGCTATTACTTCAGGACAGAACTGCCCTATCTTTGAGGTCCAAGGTAAGATTAGAAAGACCTCCCCTGATGCCTTCTCATACACCATGACAGTTTCTCTTGCACAGATAAGGGTATTCCAGCCACACATCTTTTTTAAGATTTATTGATGCATACAAGAACTGGGGTACAGGCCAGAGGTACTGGGGCCTGGGGGGGGGGTGGTGGTGACAGGATTCACCAGAGAAACAGAGTGAGGAGCAGAACAGGGAGACCTACTGAAACACACTGCTGAGGGGAGCAGCGGTTGGCTCAGGAGAGGTCTGTTGTGCCATGTGGTCAGCTCCCTGGCCGGGGATTGAACTTGTGCTGCAGTGGCTACAGATTGCTTCATAGTACCACGCTTTAACTGGTTGCACCACCAGAGAGGGCCCCAAGCTCGTTTCTTGTCTGAACCCCCTTCCTCCCCAAGCAGCCACCCCTGGCACCCAGCATACCAGCAGGGAAGAGGCCCAGGGTTATCTGATCACTGGCGTGTCATCTGGAGGGGATGGTGGATAGAACTTTTCACAAGACTGGGGCACAATATTTTGCTAACAACACAGTACTGTGCTGATTTTCTCAGTCATTTCTCCTCACGTAGCTATCACCTTCAAGATGCTTAGAGGGCGGGAATCCAAGATTCTCCAGCCACAATGCCACCTTAATCTTAAAGCCTAGCATTTCACCCCTGCTCATGCTCTCTATCTCTCTCTCTCTCTCTCTCTCTCTCTCTCACACACACACACACACACACACACATTTCTCCCTGGCTTCTGGTGATAACTTATAGTTCTGAGACTTTAACCCCTGCACCACCAGAGAGGCCCCTCCCTGTTCTTCTGTAGTCAGCTGATCTGGACCTAAAATGTATTCCTGGATCAATACTATGTAATCCAGATATCTGTGTCCCTGGAGTCATCCTTAAGTCCATGACCCGGGGGGTGGGGGAGGGATAAATCAGTGACGCTCTTCCCTCTGCTGCTGCAAATCCCACCTCCACATTTGAAACTAGCTTAGTCTGGTCTTGTCACTATAACTATATATCAGATTCTGACTCTTCAATGTATGTCCAGGCCAGAGAAGCCATCTCCCCACCCGGCCACCCCCATAATGGCACAGAAGCTGAGTTCAGTGAAGAAGGGAGTCTCTGTAGCCTCATAGACTCGAATTCTTTATGGTGAATAGAAGCCAGGTCTGCCAGCACCAGGGGACTGCAGATCTCACGCCCACGTATCCACCCAAAGACCAGCTCTCCACATTGGCACAGGGGGCAGCTGAAGACATGAAAAAGGTCCTTGCGGTGGGTTGTTTGGAACTGTCTCCTGGTGCTGCAGAATTCTAACCCTATCTAAAATCTGATGTTGTCTGCGTACGATACATCTTACCCTCCTCATTGGGGGTGCAGCATGAATGTCTGACAGGACCTTTGGGGGGATGGCCACTAGGGAAGCAGGCTGCTTTCACTGTATCTCTGCAGTGAGATGTAACATTAAAAGTTGGCTTCTTATACTGGGAATTCAGACTTGGTATTTAAAGTTTCTGAGCCCACTTGGGCTTTTAGAAAGTGGAAATAAGGACACGAGCTTCAAGTTTGGTTGTACCTGCCTTGTCCTCGCTCGGACCCAGAATGTGCCTCTTTCCAGGGCAGGGAGGGTGGTCGTGAGCATTGACAGGCTCTGAGGACAAAGCCAGTCAGTTTTGTGTGCTCTTTAGGAGGAGACATTTCCCAGTGGACTCTACGCCCAGGCCCTAGGCTTCTCTTAGCGACAGAAGCTATTTTTAACCCAAGTTTTAGAGATTCTGCAGGACAGCTGTTTCAGGGAAATATGTAGGCCAGTCTGTGATAATTGAAGTCATCCTTTTAAGGGTAGGGAGTGGGCTGGGAGAAGAGGACTAGAATAACTCTGGAGTTTCCAGAGACATCCACGAGAACCCGCAGAATGCTGGTGAGACGCCCTGGCCACTGTCTTGTCTGGACAGGCCGAGCAGATGGATGTCCTCTTGTTGCACTGGAGGTTGAGTGCCAGCGTCTACTCACTTCCATCCCTCTTATCATCCCCTGGTGACTACGGAGCAGAGATGAGCAAAGCCGGTGCCAGAGAGGCGGTGCGAGAGGGGCCTCCCCACAGCGGGCACACACCCAGCACAGCCCCCGCACCCAGCACTTCAACAGGCTCCACTCA